CTTTCTGTGTTTTAAGTACATACAGGATGTCCACTGTGTGATTCACCCCTTATCTGTTGCGTTACTTGTGAAATCTAGCAGCAGTACTCTGTTTGCAAAAGTAAAAACACGCTCACGTATGCATGAATATGCAGAATAGTTTGCCTTTTTAAACTTTACTTAAAGGCACAGACGGCTTTCTTTTCTAGCAATTGTTTTTGTTTTGTTCAAAAGTAAATGCAAAGTCATACAATTGATGCAATTTCTACAGCTGATTTAACTATTGCTATACTCTTCTGATCTGTTGAGTTATATATACATGTAATGTTTGTATATCTGGAGCGTGTAACAAAAGTAATTTCCTTCTTGGATTATTAAAGTATGTCTGATTCTGATATATTTACCTTGTTTCAGGCAAGCTTTCTTGAACAAAAATAGCTGCTTTGCAAAATGCTCTTGCAAAGCATTGTGGGATTAAATATGCTCATCTAGTGACCATGGATGATCACTACTTTTCAAGGTGTATTGTGGGATATTTTTAGTCCACTACTTTTTCATCCACTAGACGTCCAGACACTCATAAAAAATGGCATAACCCCTAAAGTATAAAGTACTCTATATAGGGGTACGGCTGATGTTCAGACACAGCCTTAGAGCTAAAACAGAATAAGGCTTTAATCTGTTCATTGTTCCTGATAACTGTCTAGTAAGAAATGAGTAACCAAATGCTACTCTCAGTTTAATAGATAAAAAAATACAAGTCATAAACACGTCTGTTGGTTTAAAAAAAGCTTCCCCATTGAATCCATTTCCTTCATCTGTTATATTTTTAGACCACTTTCAGGCTTTAAAATAGAATCCTCCCTGTGGATGAGCATGAAGTGAAACATCATTTTATCTTCATCATGAAGAGATGAAGATAAAAAGATGGCTGTCATGCATTTCATGTTCTACTCCTCACTCTTTTCTCACAACTGTCTTATCCATTGAACTTCAGAACCCCTGTAGGTCAAAACACGTCACATCAGCTCTCAGTATGTCATACATTTCTCAAAAAGGTTAATAAAATCCTTTCTATGAAAAATTCCCGTGCATAATAGTTTAAATGTCAGTCAGCACATACACGATTTTTTTCATGTTTAAACAAAATCATTATTTTAGCAAGCAGAGAAAGATTCTGTTATCCTTTATTTGCTTCCTTCGTTTTATAATTCCCTCCTTCCTTCCTTCTTTCCAGTTCCCAGTATGTCAATCCTTTCTTTGCTTCTTCCTTCCTTCATTCTTATGATAGGTCCTTCTATTATCTGTCATTCCTTCCTTGTGTATTTGGTTGCAGCTTGCGTTCTTTCCTAACTTTCTTCTCCCTTATGTCATTTCTGCTTTCCTTTCTTATTTTCTTGCCAAACCTTGGGGTCCTGCAGTACCTTCCTCGACTCCGTCCTCCTTTCTTTCCTTCCTTGTGACCTGTTTCACTTCCTTCCTTCCTTGTCCCTACCTTCTTCCATTCCTTTTCTTCCCCTCCATCTTCTTCATTTCTGTTTCATCATTATGTCATCGACATTGTAGAGGAACCATGGCATCCAAATAAATATGGCATAATAATGCTGCCTTGTCTTTCTTTGCTTTCCAAGGTAAATATTTTTATTGTCCTATTTAATTTAGTCCTGTTTAATTATATAGTGATTCACAAGGTAAATAAATCATGACATTTAATCTCATAAAACATTAAATTCTACATTAAGGGAAGTACCATGCACAGTTCTTTAATCTCCCGGGGGAATGTGATTCTTGTGGATCATCCTTTTTAAATGCACCTCAGCTTGTACAAGATGGTGTGCCTTTTGTACAAGTTAGGATTTTCTGCACCCTCCCCTTCTTTCACATATTTTCATCTGTCAGCATTTAAATCGGATCCGCTGAACTCTATAAGCTGCTTAAAACAGCGAAAGAATTTCTCAGCACTTCGGCTTGATGAACACAACAGGGAGAGAAGTGGATTAAGCTTTCTGTGGATTTAAGGGGGTATTTGAATTTTTCAGCCTTTTTGAAAAAATGCCATACAGCCTCAACAGGAGTGATGACTTTAAAAAGAAGAAGAAAAATGTATTTATTTATTTATCAGTATTTATTAGCTGATTAGGGGTTGACTGATTAATCAGATTGAGGCCAAATTCCTCCAGTCTAGGAGCTAAACTTCAAACTGAGGTGAAATAAAAGAAAGCGGTATGTGGCCGATTTTTATTTATTTATTTTTTTTACCAATATTGCGATTGAGATTTAATTGCAATTTTCCTTTGCACTAAGCACACGCATGTTGATGTTTTACAAAAGGGTTTCAGTTTTTTCATGACCTTCAAAGCCTGCTTACCCAGAATCCAGTATTGTAGGAGTTTAATGTAACATTTGCATTAAAAAGTTCTTACTTCTACTATAAAGCATAGTTCTAGGTGCTAGCTGCAACTCTCCATTCCCTTCTGTGTGACAGCACGCCCACTTTAATTATATTTTGGAGATGGAAGAAGGAATCTTTGGAGAGAGCTATAGATCAGAGTGATGCTAAAGGGGCCTTTAAACTAAAAAAAGACAAATAGCCCATTGAAAAAAAATATTTATAGAAATGGTGGAAACATGCAAGACACTGATTACCACTTATACTGTAAGGAAGATTTGGTTGCTATAATTCCAACAAAGGTTTGTTTTCCTTGTGATTTTTAAAGGATGTAAGTAAAAAGTCTTTGAATGTTGCCATTTTCAAATATATACTTTTTGAACAGAATAAAATGGACTGTATTGCTGATGGAAAATGGTTTTAAATTTAAATATGCAAGCTGTATGAATGATATTTTGGCCTGATTGAATATGACTATGGAAGACGGTTATCACTTGCTTTTATTATCCTTAAGGGTATAGAGGACGATCTTTTATTTCCGGGTGGATCATCTAAATAAGTGGTCCTCCTTATTGTCCATCATTCTGGTGATATGTTTACGTAAGGTTGTCCTACATGCTCGACCTGTTAGCTATATTTTTCTGCGCATGCCTACTTTCAGGAGTATATCTGTAGGGAGCTTCGGTTTCATACAGTCATTGAAGCTCGCCTTTCTCACCGCGGTTCTTTGAAAATGGCCGAAGGTCGTAAAAGAAAAAGTGTCTAAAAGAGGCAGATATATCCCAGAATGCTTTGCGCACAGAGGTCTCCTTACAAAGCATTATGGGATTCGCTGTCACTGCTGGCCACTGTCGAGTAGCGGCAGTGGCGACTAATAACAAAGATGGCGCAGGCACTGCGCAGTAGAAGCGGAGTTTTGTGACCAACAAAGGAAAAAACAGTGATCATCTGACCAAACGGTAAATTAACTGAGTTCGCTATAAAGTCCACTATATAGTCCCTGCTCTATATAGTGATTGAGGCATTTAGGGGTTAGGGCGGATGCTCAGACACAGTAAGTTTGTATGAGCTATGAGAAAAGCAACCTTTAAACAGAGCGTGCACGAGGACTCAATCATGCTCTCGCACACACGTTTTTTTTAACTGGAGAGGGCGGATCCTTTAAAAAAAATGCTAAAATTCTCCACAATACCTTTAAGTATTCAATTTATTCATTATGTTTTAGATTCTCTTCTCATTGTTTCTTTCTTTATTGGTCAGTTTTTTAATTCACTCCTGCCTTCAATTTCCAAAATATATATTCTACTCATCATTGGGTTATTGTTTATCGTTCCCAGGATTTGGTTTTTCTGTCCATCTCTCTTCATCTCCTCTTTGCTAATTAGTCTTCCCTCTTCAGTCTCACGGCTCCAAGCTTTTGGCAGCTGCTCTATCTCATCCTCTGATTAACATAATAGCAATAAATGTTTTTGTTGTACACTTTCCTCGGTTTATAAGCGGTTGTACTTCATTGATCTTCCTGTTACACTCCCTGTTGTGCCAGTGACTGACTGTGCTCCTGGTCATGTTTCCTTAGGTCTTAAATTCTTATTTTTAATTTGTCAACATTTTATTATGCTCTTCTGAAGCTCCAGTTTAACCCTGGCTCCCACTCCACACTCACTAAGCATGACAGATTAATTACACAATTCATTTAATGTTGCTGACTGGCTCTTTTTTGCCCTTTTATTTAAACAGATGCTTATCAACAGCATAATTGCTCCAACACTTTTGAAGATCTTTGTAGACCATGCGATTTTTTTAAAAGGTGGAACAGAAAAATGTCAAAACCCAAATAGAAAAGCAGAACCTGTGTGGAGATTAACCATATAACCTTAAAATAACAGAAAGGTGTTTGCTGAGGCTGGTTGGATATCAGTTTTGATGTGTTTTAAGTCTAAATGAGAATAGTCCAGCTGCCCAACCACATGATGTTGTCTTTTATTTTTCTTTTGAGAGATTTCAGTCTGTTTTTACATTTAGTTGTAAAGGTTGGGAATCATATTAAGAGTTAAACAACACTCTAAAATGATCTGATGATGATGGTTTTGAAGGCTTTTTAGACCTTTTGTATATTTTTAATAGCAGATTGAGGGGCTGGTTTCAGAAATCTTGAAATACAATATTTTTAGCTTTCCTTTTTTCCTCAGGGATTATGCAAAAGCTCTGACGCCGTTGAATTTGCTCTCATCTCTTACTGTGGGAATGCAACTGAAGTCACTGTGGTTGATGTGACTACTTCCTTCCTATCATTCGCAACCTCATACACACTTGCACAGAGTGTAACCGTGTAAACAGGCCGTTATCTTTATTTTTACTAGCAGCAGGAAACAGAAAAAAAGCTGCAGCCCCATAAGAGTGTTTGAATGAGGGAGGAGTGCAACCAACAGAGAGTGAGCAGAAAGAGGGAAGTGCTCGGTGGAGAGGAAGAAATGGCAAACTCATCCTCCTTTGTCACACACTTCTAGTCTTACAGAGAAGGAGAGGGAGAAACAAACAGGTGTGTTGTGCTGCCCTCTCCCTTGCCTCAGCTCTCCTCCTCCTCGATGGGCGTGGCCTCCCTCTCTGGGACTCCTGAAGGCAGCCAGTCAGTCGCCTTCTGCACTTTCATAGAGAAACAAAACCGCTCAGCTGCTCAGCTTTACTTCCCCACTTCGTTCCCTCCTTCTTCTTCATCCACCCCTCCTCCTCGCTGTTCGGAGCAAACAGGAACCAAGATGATGCAGGAGGTGTCCATCATGGTGGCTTACGACGCTCATGTGGTGGATCGTCCGAGCGAGGAGGACACCTTGGCTTGTTTGGTTGCTCATTCTAAACCATTGCGATCTCTCAGACCTGTGGTAGGTCTGTTTTGTTTTTTCCTGCATACCGACTTGTCTGATTTACTTCTGACGTCTTTCAAAGCTGCCTCTTTCTTTTTCATCTGTATCTTTACTTATTCAGAAAACTGATATAGAGTTGGTTCTAAAAATAAATAGAAAATGAATTTATTGTGAAAGTCGTTTTTTTTTTTCCACGCGGTAGATGATGCATACCCTTGAATGAATGTGTGGGTGTTTTCAGAGTTACCTCTGGAACTGTTTCTGACGTTTTGGGTAAATTGAGTAATTGTGTGCATGGGTTTGAGCTTCCCTCACATGGGTAATTTAATTCTACGGCCTAGTTTTCTTCAAATGTCCAGGTGGCATCGTCCTCATTTTAATATTCAAACTTTGGGGCTTCTCTGTCACATAGGAGCTTTCCCCGACAGCGTAGTTCAAATCTGTTTTGCTTAGTCTAGAACCTCATTTGCAATTTGAACCAGGAGTTTTGGGACCAAAGTTCCATTTTATCTTCAGGGATTCAGGTCAGGGAGCTAAAAGTGGGCCTGGTAGCATTTCCTGTGGTATCATCTTTTAATTGCATGTCCTCTATCAGCACTGATCTCCTGTCCTTACAGAAGCCTCTCATTATCACACTAAATGTTCTGGAAATTCAAGGATGCATTTTTTTCCATCTGAAACTAGACATGTGTTTGTGTGGAAAGATGTCATGTGAGACGCTGAAGAAATTAAAGCAAACTGACAAAGACACAAGCTGGGAAAGCAAAAATTAAGGATTATGTTTTTCGCTGTACTTACATGCTATTCTATAGGTGTGTTATTTTGGGACTTATTGAAAAAAATGTGTTGCGGACAAAAATGCTGGGATGAAAATGAAATAAAATAACCTCCATATTTTATGGAGTCCTGTATGCTAGAAATTTGCGTAATGCATTATTTAGAGGGAGGATCTTAGCAGCGTTTGAGTGTATTTCTGAGTAAATATGAATTAAAAAATTACAGGAAGGGCCATAGAGCTATACAGTGGTAAAATCTGATTCCTTTTCTATGGATTAAAGCGTGTTTTTTTGGTTTTATGGTCTAAAACATTCAAAGTCTAGTTCTTTACGAAGAACCTCAAATTAACAGAAATCTTAGATTTATAAGATAACAGGGGCATGTTAATTTATAATTCATATTGTAATATTTACTTTCACCTGACATAAATTGTCTCTCTTTATCAGAGGTTTTAACTCCTTACTGCAGAGAACCAAAGACCAGTTTAGATTGACTATTTTGCTGAGTATTCATTATAGCGTAGTATAAAACATCATGTATCTTTTTTTTTTTTACAAATTTGTCATGTTTATGTGTAAGCTTCTGTTTCATGATTGCTGTATTAATTTGTGTGTCTGAATTTGAGAAATGCATGTAGCAGATGAGCAAAAAAAGCGAGTGCAAGGCAGCCGAGAATAGAGCTGGAATCAGAAAGATGAATCTGAGAATGCTGAACTCAGACATGAATTAATTACACAATATCCACCCTACACTAAGGTAGTGGAGGTAAAGTTTCATGATTAAATTTATTAAATGAAGATTTTTCCTCTAATTTAGCCAGCTTGGAGGAAGGGACCAGGAGAAATGTTCCTAAGTGTATTAGCATGGAAACCTAACAAACTGGCCTTACTCAATATTTAAAAGCTACCTGTGGGAATCCCAGCTTGCCTAAATTAATCCCTGTGATAAATTACCATTTGAGATGAAAAGCTTCAGATTAAAGAGCCACGCAGTATATATGTGTAGTTATATTTGCTTAATGAGTTATTTACTTGTTAGAGGTTAACTTCATTACAGATGGTAAATGGTAAATGGCATGTACTTATATAGCGCCTTTATTCTAGTTAGGAGACTTGACCAAAGCGCTTTACACTACATTCATTCACCCATTCACGCACACACTCACACACTGATAGTGGTGAGCTACATTGTAGCCACAGCTGCCCTGGGGCTCACTGACAGAAGCAAGGCTGCCGTACACTGGCGCCACCGGGCCCTCTGACCACCATCAGCAGACAGTGCAGGTAAAGTGTCTTGCCCAAGGACACAACGACACTGAAAGTCGGAGTCAGGGCTTGAACCGTCAACCCTTCGATTTCAGGGCAAACTCCTACATCCAACGCCACTGTCGCCCCCAGCTGCATGTAATGATGCATAAACATGGTGGCCAAAACATCCAGCGGAAGGTGTCTCTCATGCCAGTCAAATGTCAGCAGTAGTTTATTGTATCATGTTGTTGAGCTCTAAAAGTAGCCCTAGGCTAATGTAGCCGCTACAGATGCAGCAGAATTATTTGTTTAGAGCGACTATTAATTTAACACAGTGTACTAACATTAAAATATGGCAGGATAAAAGAAGACATAAAATCTATAGATAAAAGGATTTTATACCTGATTAACTTTATGATAACATTTGTGCTCAAGGTTTGGAACCTTTATTTTGAAACATTCATTTTGATCATTTGGTCGTCAATGGAGGTAAAGCCAAAGTTTTCAGCTACTTAAATGAGCCAGAAGGAGGTTGGGCCTGTTTTATTTAGCTTTGTCATGTTGTGCTTCTGAAAGGAAACTGGGTGCTGATTAAGAAACCATAGCATCCATACATCATCAAAGAGATCCATTAGTAATATTTCTTGTGAAATGCAAACTTCATAGTTTAAATAAAAAAAATGTATTTTATTAATTATATTATTTAAAGCAAAACTATAATAACTCATTATGTAACAACCTAAAACAGCTGTACTCCAATAAGATCATGGCAGGAATTATTTTAAGGTCACGTTAAAATACTAAACAATGGCAATGAAGTAAAAAAAAGGAAAAAAGTTATTTGTTTCTCCACAGTGAAATATGGTTGAGTATAAAATTATCTTTGGAAGAACATTTATCAGTGTCTAAGTCTGTACATCTCTAAAAGGTTTGCAAACTTCAGCAGGGAGACAGAAGAGATCATGAGGGCAAAACACAATAAGTGAAACTGGTCATGGAGGTTATGTGTGTGTGTTAATGTTGGTGTTCAAAACATTTCTCTAATCAGACCTTTTGTTCTTTTGCAGTGGCAGTACCTTCAGGGAAACTTTTTGTTCAATTCATTTCAGTAATAGAGAAGAACTGATAAGTATTCGGCCAGCAGAGACTGAATTGCTCTTTCTCTTCAGAAAGGATCTTGGTTCTGGTATCTAAGGAGAATTTGTGTGACTGATTAATCAGTTTTGGTGATAACATACGGTACACCACTGGTTTTGATTCGGGTCATTAAACTATTTGGTGAAATAACAGGCCTGTGAGAGCAAACTTATTGACTGTTCTAGTTTAGCCTCGTTAATAAGTAAAAGGTCACTGCTTCTTCCTTCAGCTTTATATCAATAAAGATAGTTTGCATTTCCGTTTAAAAACTGCAAAGCTTTCAATCTATTTCCAAACAGTTAACATCCTCAGCCTTCAACAACTAAAAAAGGGCACAAAAAGTATTAAGAAAATGGTCTACAAGTTTAAAATCTCAATAAGTTTTAACTATTTATGCTAATCTCAGATAATAACAATGTAGAAGAATGGGGAAAACAATTTTAATTGGGGAAAACGGTTAAAGTAAATTAGTACAAAACAAATGTAAATATGCTGTTTTGGAGCTCCAATAGATATTGCAGAAAAATAAAATATCTAGAGTTTTTTTCACTGGAAAAAAATACTTTGCTTTTATTTCGAAATCTCAGCTATAACAACTAGATTTAGCCTTGCAAATGTTCCATTGTAATCCTGCTAAGATTATGCTAAGAGATGCTAAAGTATAACAGTGCTGTTACTGTTTCCAGCCTATGATTAAGTCAGACAAATTTCATAATTATCTAAATATTTATGTGCTTTGCAGCGGAAACATACAAATATTTTAACTGTCTGCTTATTTACAATAAGCCAGAGGGGAAACAGCATTTATTTATCACTTAAGACGCTGATTTAGAATAATATTTTCTCTCCATTTATTGGTAGCTTGTTGAGATCACGCTCAGAACATGGTGCTAATTTTCAGTTCCCCAGTTTTTGTAAAGCTTTGATCCATTGATACTAAATGTATCTCTTTCAAGTTCATTAACAACACAGTGAGAAGATAAAAATACACAACGTATCTGGTGTTTTATTTTAGATTTTAGCATGTTAAGAATGTGTATCATTAGAAACTGTTAATAGAGGATTGCATTTTACTGAGGACTTTTAAGACTGAGTGCACTGGATATAGTGTTTTTTTTTATTATGTTTTTCTTAATTTGTTTGACATTTTAATTTTGAATCCAATTGTAATTGTGGAATATTTGCCTCCGTTTTGCTTCACTCTGTGTACTCCGACGTCGAGGTGCTAACGTCTCTGTTAAGCACTTAAAAAAAACTCTGAAAATGGAATACGAAAGGTGGATTCTTGATTCTCGACGTCGGAGTACACAGAGTGAAGCGAAAAGACTGCAACTGTGTAAACAGGCCCCATTTCCGTTTCCGGTGGCAGGGGAATATTGACTATTCCAACAGAACTCAATGGGATTTACAAAATGCTAAATAAAACACTACAGGAACGTTTTTTCTTTACGAAACTTTTTTTGGAACGTCAATGAACAGCGCTGACGACCCGGTGAGTGGCATATTTAAAAAAAAGAACGTTTAAGGTTGTTTTAAGGACATTATCGGACATGCACTAGGGAAGCCATTCTGAAGCAGCCAGGGGTGGATTCTAAATGAGCCAAAAAGCAGAGACAGGACCAATTGTCAAAATTTTGGTGTCGATCATTCGATTTCATCCTGGACACTACAGAAAATGGGCTTAAAGTGTTAAAAAGTGAACTTCTCCTTTAAGCTCAGTGGTGCTTTCCCAGTTAGATAAAGGTTGAATGACTAAATTAACTTATCAAAGACATGCCTTGTTCTGGAGGCTAAGTTGTTAATAAATAGCTTTTTGGGTCAAGCTGATGTTGGTCAATGGTTGAATCTGTAAAAGTGTATCAGTTATTTGTTTAAGTATTTCATTGTTAGAAACATGGACTTAAAGTTGATAAAGGACCATAAATTTGTTTGATTAAAGGCAGTGGTTTATCTTACTTTTAAAATGTTTGTGCATGCTTTTTTTTTTTAAGCAAACAACTTTGATTGACTTTACTGGTGAACATATAAACAGCACATAAACAACACAATTTCAGTTTGTGAGAGGCTGATATGCATGAACAAATACACACAAACAGATCCCAATGAGAGGTCATGTGACGGGGTTTGATAATGCAGTCCCAAACCTCCACAGTGGCAACACGGTTTCCTCCCATGGGGTAACTTTCCTTCTACCTGTAATGAAATATGAGTCACACTTGGAGCAGAACCTTATTTCAATGCATGATCTACACTGAATACATTTTGACACCAGTAAGTCAAGATTTTAAAAGAGACAGAACATTAATAATGTATTTCTTTGTTTGGATTTTATTTTAGTATTCTTAATTTGAGGATTTTTTTTTGTCTTGGTAAACACTGTGCAAATGATCGTAAGGACTGGTTTCTCTCTCTAGAGTAGTTTTACACTGCAAAAACGATCTAGAAATAAGTAAAAATGTGTTTAATGAAGTGTATGTACCCTAATTTGAGTATGCAAATAAGATGATTTGCCAATGGAATGAGTATTTTTACTCTTAAAATAAGATAATTAGATAATATGCACTTGAAATAAGACTTATTTTAGGTGTAAATCATCATGTTCCATTGGCAAAGTGTCTCAATTACATCCTAAATTCAAAAAGAAATGCACTTCTTTTAAGAAAAAATTACTTATTTTAGATTTGAGATTTTTGCAGCGTACACCAGAATACAACCAATTTTGAAAAACAAAAACATTTGTTTTAGAATTTAAATAATGTAGTGTTTGTTCTTGTTTTAAATGCTAATGTATCAGATGGTTTTATTTATGGTTGAGAGAGAACTTTAAATAGCCATCAAAAATCCTTTTTCTAACAGCAGCCTTATAATTGTCAAAGTAAAGTCAGAGGATTTGCTGTTATGTTTCTGGCTGAGGATGCTGAGATGAACTGAGGGTCGAAGCTATCTGCTGATCAACCCGTAGTGGAGAATTGGAACCGTGATGAACGGAGAAAGAATAGACTTTGCAGCTAATGAAGGTCTGCTGGGAACGTCTGGCTGATCCCTCTGTTTAAAATGATTGAACTCCCACCTTCTGAAGAGTGTTTTTCAGATTCAGGGGGAGGCTGGTGGCATAGAGTCTGCCTGGATAATCACTGCCTCTATTATGTCTGACCTTGGCTGTAACCATAAGGTCTGCACTGCCTATTGCAATGGCGACCTCTGAACCTGGTGGTGGACACCAGTAATAAGCGATACCATTAAGCTGCAGATAGATGGAGTCATATTGAGCATTCCATAGGAGGAAGCAGTGTAGTTTTAGAGCCCAGGACCAGCTCTGCATCATTTGCAGGGGGCTCTAGGAAGTTTGAATACCAATAAACAGATGTTTAATCTTATCTTTCAGACTGCTGACATGTTATGCTTTTTCAGGTTCCAACCAAAAAGCTGAAAAAGTTTGAGAAGGAGTATCAGTCACTGAGAGAGAGCCAGCTCCAGCAAGAAGACCCCATCGATCGATACCAGGTATGACAAACACTCCACTTGTTCTGTTTACCACATTGTTTTTTAATGTACAATAAGAATGTATGAACGTTTGGTGGGTAAATAATTATGAATTATGACAGAGAAGGTGTTTATGTCTCATTTAAGGCTGCTAAATTTAGCTGTTTTTTTATATTTGATAACTGAACTTTCTAAAATTAGAAGCAGAGCAATGCAATGCTATACTGGATGTGAAGCATTTTTTCCAGATCCAGTGTGCCTCATCAAACAGCACTATATTTGTGATTAATGATGCTTACATTTATAAAAACAGGTTTTAGATTATTTTGCCTTGAGTCAAATATGTTTAGCAGCAACCTTTGTGTTCATGATGACATGGATGTGGGGTTTGAGTCATATCTGAATTAACTTCTCAATAAGGTAGTAGTAATAATTGACCTGGGTTCCTACATGTTGTCTCAAATGATCAAAGTGATTTCAGTATTTTCTCCAGTATTTTAAACAGCCTGTACCTTTGTATCCAGAATCAGGAGATTGAAAACATGTCGGGAATTTTTGTGTACTTATAAGGATTTCTTACTCATTTTCTGAGTCTGTCTTCTCAAACCCCCAGTCAGCCTCAGCAGATTGCCGCTCATACTGATCCTCGCTCTGCTTCAGGTTTCTTTCTGTTAAAAGGGAGTTTTCCTCTCCACTATCGCTATACAGCAGTATATAAAGAAGAACAAAGCAGGATAGCCAGCTCTCCAAGGAGGCTATGAATTAAATGTAAACTAAATTGCATTTCAGTTACATGTCGTTGTCAGCTCATACGCTCCTTTTGCTTTCCAATTAATAGTTGATTAATTATTGATTAAATTAATAATGGGTAGTTGCAGCCCAAGATTAAATAAAGGAAAATATATTTTTTAGCTAAACTTCTTACCTGTAAGAAATCATTGTCTTTACAGTTTGAATGACTGAGGCTCTGACACATGTTCTAAACATATTTTACTGTAACAGGTTATCAATTAAGAGACACCACATAAAGGTAATTTAAACAGTATAGACCATCATTCAGATTTGATTCCGGCCATTTTCTCCCAGAGTGATATGCTGCAGGCTAAATGCCCAATTGTGGAGCAGAGGAAGGAAGGAAGACTCTTATTTATAGATAAGATGTTAGGCTTGGCTTAGCTGCCTGACCCACAGTGGAAACATTTTTACTCCAAAGAGAAAGCAGAGAAAAAACAAGAACGCTCCTGTTTTATTGGCAAAGGTAGAGACTTTACCTTTTAAACCTTTTTTTGTTTTGTTTCAAGTTCTTAACTTGGTGGTATAGTTGCACAGATGATAAATTTGATCTTCTTCGTTGATTAGCTTCCTGAATGCCAAGTCTTTTTACAGATTAGGTGCCACATTCCTCCTTTCTCATGCATGCGTTTCATATTCAAAACAGCAAAAAATAGAACCATAAACAAAAAAATAGAACCATGAATAGATGCAAAGAGACTACTGAGAGAGAAAGTTTTGCTGAGAGGTGTGTGACAGGAAAGTGAGGCTATGAGAATCATGTGTTGAAGTTTAGTCAGCGCTTCCAGTCGGTCCATGTGTGGACGCTGTCGCTGTGGACTGGCGCTCGGTAAGCTTCCTCTGCTCTAAAGACTTTCTAATGAAGTAAGCTTACATTTTCTTGTTTGTTTTCTGGCTTTTGTTCTTCTGTTTTATTACATATATGCTAAAAAACAAGGTTTTATAAAGACATTAATATGATGATTTTATCTGTAACAAACATTACAAATTTTAGTGTTGGTTGATAATCTCCTTTAAGAAAACAATATGCGGGTCTACGAGGATAAGAGCTGAGTAAACAATTTAGATTTGATCCCTACTGTCTGTCAGTCATGCATGTGTTTAAATCTATGAAAGTTTTGGTATTAGTCAAGGTTTAGAAAATGTAATTACTTAAAAAGTGACAGAAAAATCAGGGTCAAATGACCAGCCCCTGAAAACAGTTTTATGCCCATCATGTGAGAGTGTTTACCGCTGGAGTGGCAGTCATGGGACTTCACACAATGACCATAAAGGGGACAAGGATATACTGTGGGTACTTAGTGAAAGCAGCAGTGGAGGCTTGTGTTGGATAATTGTGGTTGCATACATGAAGAAGAGTTTAATGTCACATAAAAAAGGCAACTATGTCGAAGGGAAGAGGTGCTCTGATCAGATGAAAGGAAATCGTAACTTCTGTTGAAAATATAGATCGCATGTTACTCTGAATACCACATTAAATATGGTGGAAAGTTGCTAATTGCTAATATCTATAAGTAAATACTTAATTCGTTTGTTTTATGCTTTCAAGAGCAATTTCCTCCTAGTTATACAGTAATACAGTACAGGCCGATTTAGTTTAGACACATTTGCAGTTTGTCACAAATCATAAAGAGAACACAGTACAGGTTGAATCAAAATGCTGTGTAAGTGAACCGTTATCCCTTCACATCACTCGGATTATACCATCTCTGTGGTGAAACATGGCAGTGGCAGCATCAGCCTTTGGAGATCAAGTTGTTCCGCAGAAACAATTAAGTTGTATGCAGCTTAATATAAGCAATCTGGTAGAGACAGTAAAATAAACAAACCTTGACCCATAAAGATTTGCACCAGGTGTCTGACATTTTAAGGTAACCTTGTGTAGTGTGTGTGCTGCTGTATACTGACTCAGACCCTTTTTCAAGAGTCTGACTCTAAAGTTAGAGTTTACACCTGTAACTTGCTTTCCATTTAATGTCTGTATCAGATCCTTCTAACATGCCTCTGCTATGTGGCAACAGTTCCTAACAGGACTTTGGGGATGGTTAAGTTTTACATGTTTGAGTTCTCTGCATGTTGTTTTATTTTACAGCAGATGTCAGGCTTTTATCAGATTTCTATTCATAGACAGATGGATCCTAAATGTTTGTGTTTTGTGTCTTTAGAGGGAGAACCGCCGACTACAAGAAGCCAGCATGAGGTTGGAGCAGGAGAATGACGATCTGGCACATGAGCTGGTCACCAGTAAGATCGCCCTCCGGAATGATCTGGATCAGGTAGAATCCTCAATATGTTTACATTAAGTTTAATTAACATTTGTCCATATAAACATTACCTGTTATACGTTAATCAGTATTATAAAAAACAAATCAGTTTGTTTAATGACAGAATAAAGTGAATATAAAAGGATATATGAAAGACAGTATACATTATATGCCTTTTAAATCAATTCAGAACAGCTCAGAGGTTTAGCTGTAGATGTATCTCAAGGCATCAACCTGCTTAGTTACCCAACATTGTGAAAAATATAAATAAATAAATATTAGAATAACGGTAAGAACTTAGTGAACCGCCATAAATCTGATATTTTTATTTGGTAAAAGTTCCAGTTGCCAGAAGGGGGCATCCAAACAATTAAACAGATTGATCATGATTAATCGATTATTGAAATAATTGTTAACTAATGTAGTTATTGATTAATCGTTAACTGGAGTATAGAGAATCTAAAACGTGCCTTTAGCTGACAGAGCGACCCAGTTAGGGCAGTAATTAGATGAAAATTGTAAAAACAAATGTAATGCATTTAATTTTAAAAAAATGTTTTCTTCTGTCAATATGCTCTTTCCAGAACTCCTCGAATTAAAAAGTTTTATTTTCATCTGGTTAAATTTCATAAAAAATCTTCTTTAAGGAGCCTCTGATCATTTATCAGTTAATCGAAAAAATAATAGACAGGTTAATCAATTTGAAAAATTATCGTTTGCTGCAGTTCTAATCACAACACATCGGTGAGGAAGCACGAACCAAAATCTATGCAAACTATTAGAATAAGCTTGAGAAAGGAGACCAATCATCTTCGGATGTAAATACATAAATCTAGGGAAAGTTTTTCAAACTGAACTATCGATTTGTATTTGCTAAACATCTTTTTTTATCCATCCTAAATTATCTAAACAGACAAGTTTCAGTTCTGTGTTTTTATTCTGTGTATAGTGATTTTATTTTTTGTGTTAAAAACTTTTACGGATTTCATGGTTAATTTAGTTGAACGTTTTAGAGATTAATCGATAAAAAGGTAACCGATTATAATCTGCTGATGGCGCCCTTATTGATTGGTTTTCTAAAAATAGAACGAAGGAGGCCGATCAGATGGCAGTAGATTAGATAAGTCCACTTAGTTGACAGAGCGCTGGAGGTGTAGGACAGAAAATGGCAGCTGTCTGGTGTCGGCGCTGGGAGGTAGGACCACGAAACAGTCCTTCTAGGGCTACTTTTTTTTTTTTTAAGTAATCTAAAACCTCTACAGAGCACTGCACACCTCATTATTTGTCAACATAATTTTCTTTACCGTCCTTTTTGATCCAAAAAAGATTGTCTCGGCTGCCTCCTTCACTAAAAGAGGGGTCAATTCATGATACTTTCTCATCTCTCAGTTTTTATATTCAATACAGTGCCAATGTACATGAGACAACAGTATTGAAGAATGTATGGATTCAATGCTGGGATTTGTGATCGGCAATATCTGGATCGGCATATACAGATTTCGGCGATCGGCTCCCAATTCAATTCGATTAAGTTTATTTCTATAGCGCCAATTCACAACACATGTCATCTCAAGTCACTTTACAGTTTACCAGATCATCCAGTCAAATTGATTCAAAGTTTTCTATCTAAGGAAAACCAGTTGATTGTATCGACTCATTGACTTGAAGGAAATCCCTCACACTAAGCATGCTTATAGCAACAGTGGAGAAGAAAAACTCTGTTTTAGCAGGAAGAAACCTCCAGCAGAACCAGGCTCAGTGTGAGCGGCCATCTACCGAGCCCAACTGGGGTTCAAGTAGAACCAATGTCCTGATCGGTGCATGTCATGTTGTAATCTATTAAAAGTCCTAAGTAAAATATGTCAGAAAAGTTACATGCTCAATTATTTTATTCAACCTGGCACTGATGAGGTAAACTCTTCTGTTGTTGTGATCCATCTTTAGGAGGTTAGTTTTCCCAAAGGTGTCATATTGCAGCCTAGATAGATAAAAGTGTGTGTTGTTTCTGGAACCTTCACACAGGCTGAAGACAAGGCTGATGTTTTGAACAAAGAGCTGCTGAGCACCAAACAGCGTCTGGTGGAGACGGAGGAGGAGAAGAGACGGCAGGAGGAGGAGACAGCCCAGGTAACATTAGTCCTCAGTTTACCATCCAGTACCTCAGTTAGCAGCAAACAAAGGCTGTGTTCTCATGCATTATCAGTGTAACGATGTAGAGGTGGCTGAATGGCTTCTCTGTTTGAATGTCCTTACTTCTTTTGGAGGAGAGTTTTCAGAAAGAAACAATTGTTCTTTAATGTCTTTATTCAGCTGCTGTCAATGTGCAGAGAAAACCGATTAGGTGAAGGATGATTACTGAAAGTCACATTGTCACACCAGAACCATTTTACTTTAAAAGTCCACATTTAATCAGCCAGAAAATTGAGATCCACATGTTTTCAAGCTGTTACCAGCCATTTAGATACCAGTTCGGCTCAAATTAGTCTCTCCTAAGTGATTGTTATAATTTGAATGTGTTTGTAATAAAAAAAAAAGTAAAATATGCTACAATTTGTAACTGATTTTGGAAATTATAATAATAAAGTAGTTAACTTTATGTCCTCCCTGATGTCCTACAGCGTCCTAATGTTTTTGGTGAGGTTACTCACTGAATAGATTTTCATTTTGATTTTATCAGATAATTATTCTCATAATAACTTTGCTAAGATGTGTATCAGTTAAATTCTCTCTGCTACATTTTCAGTTATATTAACTGTGAAGTTTGCCTTCTTCATTATTGGGTTGTTTTCTACTTCCAGCTTCACTACAGAGTAACTAGATATGATTCTTCATCTAAACGTGTTTTAAACTGTTTAGGAAGGTAAAGATTAATATTTGAATGTGTAGCTAAGTTACCTTTATATCCACTAGTGAATTCATTGATTTGACCCAAAAAGTAAGTCTGTGTAAACACATCAGTAAGAATGAAGCGGTCTGTTGTTTTGTGAGAACTGTAATCCTTTTGTTCAGTGCATTTCTTTTCAGTCCTCTGGTGTCTCTTATAGCTGAAGGAGGTGTTCAGGAGGGAACTGGAGAAGGCAGAGATGGAAATCAAGAAAACCACAGCCATCATAGCTGAGTACAAACAGGTGACAGCATATTCTTTACACATAAATCTGAGTTAAACAATATAAATACACAAGTTAAAAACAAAATTGCCTCATTTTTTGAATATATATTGTATGATATAAGTTATGTGTCTGAGGGAAAACTGTTAATTCAATATTTATAATAATCTGTTTATTATGAGACAAACTAAATTTACACATTTAAAAACAGCAAAACTAAAAGCCACCCTGGCTTTCCATAACTGCTGCCTGAAGTTGCTGTTTTTAGGCTTTTATCTGTGAAAAATGATTATGTATGAGCTCATCATGTTATGAGCAAAACCTTTCCTCAACAGCTAATGTTTCACAGACTGATTTTCTGGGATGTCATGTGGGGCCTGAAACATGCATCTGTCACTTTTGACAAAAAGGTTATGGTCTAAAATTTAAGAAAAAAAATGATTGGAAAGTGTGCCATCCTTAAAAAAACCCGGAACCTCTTGTTTAACGCAATAAGAACTAGCGACACAGATGGTGGAGAATAGAAACCACACTTTATCCTCATTCCTCTCAGACAATTGCATTACATATCAAACTCAATCATAGTTCATCTTTTTATTTTGTTTTATTTGTGTAATTTTCTCTATAGATTTAGCTTAATATAGCAGAAATAACTTTTATGGCAAAGCAGATGGGTAAATTCAGTGAATGATGTGAAATGTTTTTGTTTTTTTGTTATTTCTTTGTTAAATGATGTGTTCTGGAACGACAGTGGTTTGCTGTGATTCTCATATGTCGTAGGATGCAACCAGATGAACATAAGGCCTGTTTTTTTTCTAGATATTCCAAGTTTAGATTAGGAATAATGCCTTGTGTGTTGCAGTTTTCATCATCTCTTTTGTAACTAGGCTTCCACGCCTCATTTCAGATCTGCTCCCAGCTGAGCACCAGGCTGGAAAAACAGCAGGCGGCAACTAAAGAGGAGCTCGACATCGTCAGGGTGAGATTATCCACGGCTACCGGCAGCCAGCTGCAGATCAAAGCTATAAGGGAATTAAAATTTCAAATAAAAGCCACAATAAGTTTCGTCAGATGGTGAGGAGAGTTTTGTGCACCACCTCACCGACACAGAGCTTGGTTACAGAAATAATCCCACACAAGCTTTTAGTCTCCATCAAACAGGCAGTGGGTGGCTTTGTGGGTGTGGCAGCAGACTTTTTTAATTTGACTCTTAATACTGAAATGTTTTGCAACTATGCTAAAGAAATACTAGGATTAATAGACATTAACACTCGTTTTATATAAATATTTAAAAAATATTTTTGTTTCCAGTTGCTGTATAATACATGTATTTCTGTGCAAGTGCAGGATTGCAATGTACTACTAATAGTTGTTTTTTTTTTTCTACACCATGAATGCTAAGACTTTTTGCAGAACATCTACATCTTTTTGCATCAGCACTCAGCAGATATGCATTTGTGTTCTTGTGCAGAATAAAGTCATGAGCTGTGAGAACTGCAGGGATCTGTTCAGCACACTGGGCTCCCTGCAGGCTTCCTCCCCCGGCAGCGACAGGACATCCAGCGAGCCTCAAGACGAGGAGAAGGACGGGCTGAAGGAGCAGCTCCGACGGCTGGAGTTGGAGCTGGCTCAGACCAAACTGCAGCTGGTGGAGGCAAAGTGCCGAATCCAGGTGAGCAGAATGAAGAGGGAGCTAAACTTAGCAACCATAATAGTCAATATTAAACTGAGTTAGTCAATCTAAACCTTTTCTGCAGTTCATTCTCTTTATGTTTAGTAGTTCATTAAGGAAATATAAACATCAGAAGGTAAAACGACAAACCTTCTGGGGTTTGGTTGGTGGACATTACTGCTTTAACAATTAGAAATCCTTAAATTAGTTCACTCCCTAAACAATCCACTTTGTTAGCACAGTAAAATGAGAAAGCTGTTTAGAAAGTCAGCACTGAACCTGTTGGTCCATCTTTAGAGGTTATTCTATAACATGATCTTGGCCTTAATAGACTGGTTTTCAGAGGTTTACTCATCACAGTACCTAATATTGTATTTAATGAAAGTTTTTAGTATTCCTATTTCCAAGTGCGTTTTCATAGCTGCTAATCCAAACAGGGTCAGATTTTTCCACAGAGAAACGATTTTTGCCATTTTTCTACATATTTAACCTGTCTTCCTGTAAGAATAAGTGACGATGGTGTAAATTGGTTGGTTTCTTGTCATAAACACTTATATTACACGTAGTACATGAACTTTCCCCATGATTGAACTTATGACCTTCAGAAGGTTAATCAGAAACAGTTTTCTTTCTTGTTTTGGTGATTATTGTCCTATCTCAAAACATGTTTGTGTCCATGTTTAAACTAGTTGTTTAGGTGAAGTAGAAGAATTTATAAGTAGTAATCACTCCACTCGTACACGTTCATCTTCTTTTTGTCTTATGGCAGCTAAACCTTTATAAAGTTTGTCTAGAAGGCTTTTAGCTTGTAAGTCCATCTAACAGGGTTTTTTTTTTTTATTAAAGAAGGAATTCGACCTTGTTTCTATTGAAAGTCGGCAGGGCAACGTTCAGGCAAGGAAATAACAGATTTTAATCAGCGCTGCCATTTTTGATGAGACAAGAGGTCTGAAATTCAGACATATTTATACCCAAAGCTCTTCAGCTTTACAAAAACTATATTAAAAGGCCAACTCTAGCTTTACATCCATGTGGATTGTCTAAGGTTCTGATCAAGACAGCAGGAGAGTTTTAAGACCATGGAGATATTTTTCATTTCAGTTCAGAATTATTCCACCTGTAGCAGGTTTAGGTTTAAATTTGTTATTTTTATCAAATGTTTCCTCTGATTGGAAGTTAAAGTAAAATGTTATTCAAGTCTTAAGTTGAATCAGAATATTTGTCTTTGAAGGCAGTTAAAGATTAGGGTGATGGTTAAGAGGCTTTTCGACCTGAAAGACAAATGTTACAGAATATTTATCGAAAACGTCAGCAATAGTAAGGTTTTTCCATTCATTATTGATAAGGTATAGTTTAATTTTTAGAAATTAAGTTTTTAAATAATATAAAAACATAAAAAACAGAAATTATTTTCCTCTTATAAAGTTGCATCATTTGAAAGACACTTCTCTGCTAATCATATAATTTTAAATTAAAATCTACTGTGTATGAACACTTCTGGGCTTAGTTGCCATTATACAGGTGCTGGTCATAAAATTAGAATATCATGAAAAAGTAGATTGATTTCAGTAATTCCATTTAAAAAGTGAAACTTGTATATTATATTCATACATTACATACAAACTCATATATTTCAGATGTTTATTTTGTTTAATTTTGATGATTACAAATGACAACAAATGAAAATCTCAAATTCATCATATCAGAAAATTAGAATATTGTGAAAAGGTTCAAAATTGATGGCCCCTGGTGCCACACTCTAATCAGCTAATTAACTCAAACCACCTGCAAAAGCCTTTAAATGGTCTTTCAGTCTAGTTCTTTTTTTTTTTTTTTTTTTTTTTTTTTTTCGCTTTATTATAATTATGCAGGGAGTTTTACAGTTCATATGGACACTGCAATGTAAGTAGAGCAGAAAAACAGAAGAAGAAGAAGGAAAAAGAAAAAGAAAAAAACAGGACAAAAGATGAAAGAAAGAGGAGATAGGAAGGAGACAATGACAAAACATTTTCAGTCTGCTTCAACACCTGTAATGAGATGGAGAAAAAAAAAAGAAAAAAGAACAGCACAACCAAAAAACATGGTACGAGATATACAATAAAGCAAACACCTTGAAACTATCACTAAAGTAATATTATTAAGTCTGACATGTACTCTGTGTTACCTGAAGATATGAATGTGGGGTTTCTGTTTGGAAGTGAATCTCTAAGTACCTGAAGCCTAGCACCTGTAGTTGTTTGTGAGGGTGAACTTGTGCATGTAAAGTTTTAACCATAGAAAAAAATGCTCAATAGTGGTTGTGGAGAGCCGGAGAGGCACACCCCCCAGAGCACTGAGTCCAGCGCCGGGAGACCCAAAGCCCCAGGCGCCCAAGGGGACCCCAGAAGCGAAGGCACCAAGGCGGGGCCAGCCCCGGAAATCAGACCCCACCAAGGCAGGAGGAGAGACAGCCACGAGGAAGCCCCCCAGCCACCGCCATGCCGGCGCCCCGGGGAGCCGCGGGGACGAGTCCGCGGGCCCCGCCGGCAGCCGGCCACCCCGAAGTAGGGCCGGGCGCCGAACACCAGCCCCCCCACGGCGCCGACCGAAACGCCCCAGCCCCACAGAGCACCGAAACACGCCCCGCCCCCCCGCACCAAGCCCCGGCGACCGGCCGCAACACCCACCGCGACCGCACCACCCAGGAAAACACTAAGACGGCCCCGCCCCCGGCCGGGGCCCATGCGCATCCGCCGCGAACCGGCCACGAGCGCCGCGGGACCCCCCCCAAAACGCCCCCCCGGCCAAAAGCGCAGCCCCACCCCACCAAGACCGATGCCAACAGCGCGCAACGAAACACACCGCGCACAGAATCAGCCCGAGAGCAGAAAAGCCGCCCGGCGCAAAACCGCAAGAGGAGCAGACCGCAGCCGGCGCAACCACCCCCCCCAGCAGCCCGAGGGGCAGCACAAAGCCAGAGCGGAGCGAACCGCGCCGCCCCCCCACCGGACGATGCCAAAGCAGCCCAGCCACGTCCGCCACCCCCCCCCGCAGCCCGCACCAGGCCCCGACACGCGGCCAGAGCAGCTCCGCCGCCCCGGCCCCCCACCACGCGCCGGTCATAGCCACCCCAGGCCCACACCCGCCCCGCAGCCCCACCCGCCGCGATCAGTGGGAACAGAGCAGCCCCGCCATGCCTCCAGGAGGGAAAACCCACCCGAATACCCAGCCAGCGCAGCCAGCCCGCCCAGACCGGCCCCCCAACACTACCCCCGCCGGAGCCGCCCGGACCCCCACACACCAGCGGCGCACCGCCAGCAGGACCCCCACCCAGCAGGCCCGCCTGCCCCCCGAGAAAACAGACATGCCAAACCCCCCAAAGAAAAAAAGAGAAGAAAAAAAAAAAAAAAAGGGGCCCCCACAATGCGACAGCGGACACCAGACACCGACCCGCCCGCAACCGCTCCCCCCCACCGAGGAAGAGAAAAAAAAAAAAAAAAAGAAAAAAAAAAAAAAAAAAAACAAATAAATAGGTAAATAAATAAATTAATTAATAATTACAATTAAAATAAATAGGCAAGAGGAGAAGTGCGAGCGGAAAAACCGGAGCCCAAAACAGGACCCAAGACCCGCACCCCACCATGCCGCGCAGCTCCCCCCCTCCCCGAACCGATACCACAGAACCGGCATAGGAAAGAAACACCGCCCAGGAACCGGCATCGTAGCGAAGGCACCGGCACCGACCCCGAAAATCCCCGAACAACTTCCAGCCCCACCCCGAAGCGGATCCAGTCCCAGGCCCCAGGGATCCGAGGCCCCAAGGGCACCCCACCCCCAGACAGGAGCCCCAGCAAAGCCCCGGCCGGCCGGGGCCAGTGGAGAGGCCGCCAGGAATGAGCCAGCAGTCCCCCGGGCATCCACCCCCAGCTCCAACAGTGCACCGGTGAGCCCCGACGCCAGCCAGCGGAGGGAGAGCAGGACGGGGGGAATGGGCTCCGCACTTAGCGGAGACTTGAGATGTACACTATATTGCCAAAAGTATTTGCTCACCTGCCTTGACTCACATATGAGCTTAAGTGACATCCCGTTCCTAATCCATAGGGTTCAATATGACGTCGGTCCACCCTTTGCAGCTAGAACAGCTTCAACTCTTCTGGGAAGGCTGTCCACAAGGTTTAGGAGTGTGTTTATGGGAATTTTTGACCATTCTTCCAGAAGCGCATTTGTGAGGTCGCACACTGATGTTGGACGAGAAGGCCTGGCTCTCAGTCTCCGCTCTAATTCATCCCAAAGGTGTTCTATCGGGTTGAGGTCAGGACTCTGTGCAGGCCAGTCAAGTTCATCCACACCAGACTCTGTCATCCATGTCTTTATGGACCTTGCTTTGTGCACTGGTGCACAGTCATGTTGGAAGAGGAAGGGGCCAGCTCCAAACTGTTCCCACAAAGTTGGGAGCATGGAATTGTCCAAAATGTCTTGGTATGCTGAAGCATTCAGAGTTCCTTTCACTGGAACTAAGGGGCCAAGCCCAGCTCCTGAAAAACAACCCCACACCATAATCCCCCCTCCACCAAACTTTACACTTGGCACAATGCAGTCAGACAAGTACCGTTCTCCTGGCAACCGCCAAACCCAGACCCGTCCATCAGATTGCCAGATGGAGAAGCGCGATTCGTCACTCCAGAGAACGCGTCTCCACTGCTCTAGAGTCCAGTGGCGGCGTGCTTTACACCACCGCATCCGACGCTTTGCATTGCACTTGGTGATGTATGGCTTGGATGCAGCTGCTCGCCCATGGAAACCCATTCCATGAAGCTCTCTGCGCACTGTTCTTGAGCTACATGAAGTTTGGAGGTCTGTAGTGATTGACTCTGCAGAAAGTTGGCGACCTCTTCGCACTATGCGCGTCAGCATCCGCTGACCCCGCTCCGTCAGTTTACGTGGCCTACCACTTCGTGGCTGAGTTGCTGTCGTTCCCAAACACTTCCATTTTCTTATAATACAGCTGACAGTTGACTGTGGAATATTTAGGAGCGAGGAAATTTCACGACTGGATTTGTTGCACAGGTGGCATCCTATCACAGTTCCACGCTGGAATTCACTGAGCTCCTGAGAGCGACCCATTCTTTCACAAATGTTTGTAAAAACAGTCTGCATGCCTAGGTGCTTGAATTTATACACCTGTGGCCATGGAAGTGATTGGAACACCTGATTCCAATAATTTGGATGGGTGAGCAAATACTTTTGGCAATATAGTGTATTTGGGAGAGGGTGCGGTTGAGACCCCAACCTGGGAAAGAAAAAAAAAAAAAAAAAAAAACACACCATCTCAATCATGCCTTCCCTCCCTAGTGCCCCCACTCGTACCACAGGAAAAAAAAAAAAAAAAAAAAAAAAAAAAAAAAAATTGAATAAAATAATAATAATAATAAATAAAGAAAATAACAACGCAGACACACATTCACACATAACACTCACATCCAATAATACCAGGACCAAAAACCCGGTGACACCGGTGGTCGGTCCCGGGACTATCGGATGACCCCATAAGTGAACCTAAAATCCGGATGTGAGGGGAGGGGAGCGGCGACACCGCCACACCAACCCATCTCTTTCCTGCTTCAAGCCCGGCCCCCCACCCCGCACACGGACCGGACCACCCCCCGCAAGAGCCCCCCCCGGGACCGGGGCCCACCCATCCCGCGCCGGCCACCCAACCAGAACCGCCCCCCCCCCCCCGAAAAGAACAAAAAAAAAAAAAACCTTCAACCAGGCACTTCATGCCCCTCCATCCAACCTTCTTTGGGGAGAGCAGAGGTGACAGCCCCGCCACCAGCAGGCCACCTAGGCCCCGCAGCCAGCCCCAGCCAAAACCACGGACCAGGTGGCCCGCTCTTCCTCCAGGCCCCAGACTCCAGGCGGCAGCCGGAGAACAGGGGTGTGAGAAGACCCCGATCCTCACTGCGCCCGCTCGAATGTGGTGTTGTTGCGTGTTGCTCTCAGATGCAATTAAAACTGGGAGTACCAAGAGGGGGTGTCCGGCACACTCCACCCCCCCTCCAGGAGATAGACGGTGCCAGCACACCCTCCCCCTTCGACAACCCTCAACCCTCAATGTCTAGATGCGAGAGGGGATGGAGGAGGCCGACCGTGGTGAGGCCCATAAAATAAGCCCCCCCCCGGTGGCCCTGACCCCCACCCCCCGAAAATGCCCTACATAGATGTGTGTTGTGAAAATGATGTAGATGGAAGTGTCTAAAATGCAAAATAAAATTGGGGTGGGGGACGTCATCAGAAGGTGTGGCCCTCCAGTAACGACCCCCTCCCCAAAAACCTACATGTGTGGCCGAGTGATGGAGCAGGCAGAGGGAGGATTTCGGGGATGGGGAGCAAAGGACTGGGGTGCCTGCTGCACTCCCAGGGAGCCAGCTCCCCCGCTGACTCCAATAGGCACCCCCGTTCCCCGAGAGCCCCCCCAGAGAAGGGGGCCCCACCAGTTTCACCACCATAGCCCGGGGGCACGGGACCGGCAGCAGGACCCACCAGCCAGCCGGGCACGGAGCCGACTCCACCACCCCCCCCCGTCCTGTCCATCCAAAAAAAAAAATAATAATAAAAAAAATAAATAAATAAATAAGTAGATAAATAAATAAAATTAAAAAAAATAAATAAATAAATAAATTAAATAAAAAATAATAATAATAAAAAAAATAAATAAATAAATAAAAAAAAAAATATAAAAGGAAGATAAGAAAAAAAATAATAATAATAAATAAATAAATGAATAAGGGAAGGGACAATCCCAGCCGGCCAGCCAACGCGCAACACGCAGAGCCCCCACCCCGGACGAAGCCCCACCAGGGGGCAGCACGGACCAGGACCAAGACAGGGAGCCAGACCCAAAGCCCTTCAAAGATCTTCTTCCCTCTATCACCACCCCCCACCCCCCCTCCGGAGATGTAATCCCTCCCCTACAATAACAATCAAGCTACTCACCACACAAGCGACAGAAGACATCCAGGCCGAGATCATACCTACTCCCCCTCCCTCCCCTTCCCCCACTTACAGAGTGCAAACCCGTGAGGGGGTAAGCACTTGCCATAGGTGTTAATGTCCATGCCCCCCCCCAGCCCAGCAGGCCCCGAGGCACCCCGGCACACCAGAGGCCGTGGCAGCAGGGACAGACAGCCAGGCGTACACCGGCCCAGAACCCAAGCAGCACTCCCCACAGAACCCGAACCCCCACCGGGGACCCCGCCCAAGGGCAATGCGCCCCAGGGATCCCAGGCCCAAGGAGCCACCCCAGACCCACCCCGCAGTAGGGCCGGGCAATGCCCAAAAACCCCCGGCACCGGCGCCAGCACCCCCACCCCGGCCCCCGAACGACTCCCCCCAACACCGGTCCCACAGCACCAATCCGAAGAAGAAGAAAGCCACACAACACAGCTAAGCGCAAATCCCGAGCCCCACTCCAAGCCCCTTTCAGTCTAGTTCTATAGGCTACACAATCATGGGGAAGACTGCTGACTTGACAGTTGTCCAAAAGACGACCATCGACACCTTGCACAAGGAGGGCAAGACACAAAAGGTCATCGCTAAAGAGGCTGGCTGTTCACAGAGCTCAGTGTCCAAGCACATTAATAGAGAGGCGAAGGGAAGGAAAAGATGTGGTCGAAAAAAGTGTACAAGCAAGAGAGATAACCGCACCCTGGAGAGGATTGTGAAACAAAACCCCTTCAAAAATGTGGGGGAGATTCACAAAGAGTGGACTGCAGCTGGAGTGAGTGCTTCAAGAACCACCACACACAGACGTATGAAAGACATGGGTTTCTGCTGTCGCATTCCTTGTGTCAAGCCACTCTTGAACCACAGACAGCGTCAGAAGCGTCTTGCCTGGGCTAAAGAGAAACAGGACTGGACTGCTGGTGAGTGGTCCAAAGTCATGTTCTCTGATGAAAGTAAATTTTGCATTTCCTTTGGAAATCAAGGTCCCAGAGTCTGGAGGAAAAGAAGAGAGGCACTTCATCCCACGTTGCTTGAAGTCCAGTGTAAAGTTTCCACAGTCAGTGATGGTTTGGGGTGCCATGTCATCTGCTGGTGTTGGTCCATTGTGTTTTCTGAGGTCCAGGGTCAACGCAGCCACATACCAGGAAGTTTTAGAGCACTTCATGCTTCCTGCAGCTGACCAACTTTTTGGAGATGCAGATTTCATTTTCCAACAGGACTTGGCACCTGCACACAGTGCCAAAGCTACCAGTACCTGGTTGAAGGACCATGGTATCCCTGTTCTTAATTGGCCAGCAAACTCTCCTGACCTTAACCCCATAGAAAATCTATGGGGTATTGTGAAGAAGAAGATGCAATACACCAGACCCAACAATTCAGAAGAGCTAAAAGCCACTATTAGAGCAACCTGGGCTATCATAACACCTGAGCAGTTCCACAGACAGATCGACTCCATGCCACGCCGCATTGCTGCAGTAATACAGGCCAAAGGAGGCCCAACTAAATACTGAGTGCTGTACATGCTCATACTTTTCATGTTCATACTTTTCAGTTGGCCAACATTTCTATAAATCCTTTGTTTTTATTGGTCTTCAGTAATATTCTAATTTTCTGATATGATGAATTTGAGATTTTCATTTGTTGTCATTTGTAATCATCAAAATTAAACAAAATAAACATCTGAAATATATGAGTTTGTATGTAATGTATGAATATAATATACAAGTTTCACTTTTTAAATGGAATTACTGAAATCAATCTACTTTTTCATGATATTCTAATTTTATGACCAGCACCTGTAATCCCTTCCAGCATTCAATGAATCATTAAAAAGCAGGGGCAGATTTAAAAAAAACTAACCTAATAGTTAAAGTTTTGATTTCGATTTACTAGATGATCTGTCCTCTGCATCTGTTTACCAAACTCTTCTCCTGTTTCTGCTCTGCAGGAGCTGGAGCATCAGCGAGGAGTCCTGATGACTGAAATCCAAGCTGCTAAGAACTCATGGTTCAGCAAGACTCTGGGATCTCTGAAGAACTCAGGCTCCTCCTCCAGCTCAACATCCCAGACTCCGTCCTCTCCAAAGGACGGACCTGCCTAGCTGAACCTCCATCACCCTCAGTTCCCCTGCAGAATGCACACTAGCAATGCGAACAAAGGCTGAAGAAACTATTGAAGGAGATATGCAGTGTTCCTTTTTTTTAACAGATGGGGAAAAAAAATAAGAGCTCTGGATTTGTGTACAACAAACAGAAGAAGAAAAAAGGCAGGAATGTATTTTGCTCCAAAAAACACTAGAAAGACTAGTTATGTTCCACTTTCTACAGCTACAGAATTTAATGAAGGTGAATATTCATCAAATTCTTAGATTGTTTAATCTGTTTCCATAAAATCAGAATTCATGGATCCTAAAGATCTGTTAGCTCCATCTTGTGGACAATTGTTGCTACTGCAGAAATATTAGCTTGAAACTTTATCAGTTTTTCTAGCTAAACTATTACAAAACATTTGAGCATAAGTTCAAAACTACTATAGTGCTCCATCATAGTAGTTTTATACATCTACTATTAAAAATATAACAATTCACATCCACCGTCTTTAACACAGAAACACCCAGCTCTCTGAAGAAAGGAATACTGCCTATTGTAGTAAATTAAAGCATCACAGAAGTTGCATTTCTTTATAGTAATATAACGTAAACAATATGGTCTTATAAATATGTGTAACTAATTGTTGACTTTTTTTATTTTAAATAATCTTGTACAGTTCTTTAAGGAAAAAAAACAAACAGAAATGTTCTTATTTTTCTTTTCTACCGTGTGGAAGATGATCGTCATCTCCGTAGATGTTGATGTAAGCACAGTGTGTGAGGGATCGGGTCCAACGCAGAGGAGCCAGATAGAGAAGCCCTGCCGAAACTTTCTGTTCACTCTACCTGGTTTTCTACCTTGTTGTTTCAGCTGTATTTATAAGACGTAAATGCTTGTTTTGGTTTTAGAGCTTTTTTTTTTTTTACCGGTTCACTTTAATTTGTGGTTCATAGTTTACTCATAAAATACCAGGTTAATGATGTCTAGAGGCCAAATTCAATTCAAACTTTAGACAAATATGAAGTTCTGTTACGCGCTATATGTTAGCTTTAAGAGTTAGCTGTCAGGAGACAACGAGGCATTGGCCATTATTGGAATCTTGCAGTATGATAATATAAAGAAAGAATGTTATGGTATTTCCAAAAAGGTTTAAAACAAATACGTATACCATGATCTAATCACCTTCATTTAAAACTAAAAGGCAAAAACTATTCCTGCTTTTGCTCAAATATTACTTATTAGCTTTATGCGATAGCTCTCATTATTTTGATGCATAAACATAAAATTAGTATCGGCTAAATCGGTAGTTTTCAAGTAAAAATGAGCATGAAATTATAATTTCACTGTTAGGACAAGTTTATACCAGCTGGTTTACCAGTTTGGTTGTTTGCTGTGTAGCCAGTCTGCAGTGAGCAACAGTAGCTCACCAGCTGCTATTTCAAATCGTTAATACTTCAATAGGAGGGATGGGTGGTGCTCCTTTCTGTATCGCATGTTACGGGGTTTATTGCAGCCAGAAATTATTACAAATACATAAATCTGTCTCTTGTAAGCAAGAGAGAACAATATCTGAAGTCCACTTTTATTCAGCCAGCTGAATGGCAGTGCACAGCAACATGTGGTTGAGTGCTATGTTTTGTGCTGTTATTCCCACTTATTCAAAGGGATTCGAGGTTGTTTTTGTCTTTTTTCTACAATGTTTTGCTCAATTTCTTTGGATAGATGACATTTCTAGGCTGCTGGTCTTTTGATTCTAACTGCAACTTTTCAAAAAAACCTTAGCAGATAATTCACATCTACTTAAAAAAAAAGAGAATTCTCTTTTTACTGTTTTGTTTCAGTAAAGATAATTATTTTCAGAATGCCAAACCCTAAACACCTTGGTGCAAACAGCACCCAGATTATCAAACATTGGTTACTTTTGCTCAGTCTATCCCAAGATAAACATCTTTTATCTGATCTCATTAAGAAGCAGAAGGAGGTTAATTTATTGCTTAGCCATTTCCAAACCGTCCTGAGGCCATCTATATGATAGTGCCAACACCTGTCTTTATCTCGTTTTTAGTTTTTACACCTTATTTTGCTGTGTTTTTTTTTTTTTTTTTTGTCATTAAAAGCACATGTGCTCCATGTGGTTATTGCGATCCTCCTACCTGAGGTACCTTTTATGTACAGCAGGTGCAAGATGGCTTCAAACTCGAAAACAGAAGCGTTTTATATTCATTTATAAGTTGAGGATAATTTTGTTGCCAAAAATGTTTTTTGCTCAAGCATTGATGCACTTTAGCTTCATGTTTGAGAAGCTGTTCTACTTTGTTCTCCTCTCTGGTTGACACTGATGTCAGCCTTTGGACTCGGACCATCCAACATGTACTTTGTGTGTGTGTGTGTGTGTCTGCTGTAACTCAAGCGTTTCAAGTCAAACCGTTGCTTCTTCTTCACGTTGCTGCCTTTTATGTTGACTGAAGCAGCTGGCTGAAGAGATAAAAAAAGCTATCTGAGAACCCAGAGGTCATCTTTTGTGCCAAAAGAGCCTCTCCACGATATTCCTCTTTTCTCCAGACCTACACCATCCTGACAGTACCTGTTTAAATATTGTTCAGCCAAAAAATATCCTAATCCCAGGATTAATTTCACTTTTTGTCCTCACTGTTGCGCATAGTCCTTGTTGGTCTGTTAATTGAACTTGTTAAACCAGGTAAATGTAAACTGCGGCCAAGCTGGAGAGGGCTCCTGTTCTTTATGTGCACTAACCTGACATGGATATTTTAAACACTATTTTAAGATGTTTGTTTTTATCTGATGACTGTTGCTGAGAAGACATATGTCTGCCCATTTCTAATCTAATTCAGTTAATCTCAGAGAAGAGGAAACAGTGGATGAGTCAGATTAGAGGTGGGCGTTGTTGTCTCGTTTACAGTTTGTTGTAAGAGCTCAGTTCTGTTACAGACGGCTCCTCTACTGGTCTTTCACTGTTTCCATAAACAGAAACTGTTTCCAATTAATAAACTTCAGTTTGTTCATGAAATCTGTGCCTTTAATTTTAAGTGTTCAAAAACAATTATATTTCTAAAATCCACCATTAGAAAATTTAACCGAAATACCATTTTCCAACCAATGGACCCAGACCCAATGTTCTGATCTCTGCTCTGGATCCCATTTATTAAGTAAGTAGATGTACATATAGAAAGCAAGAATAGCACAGTAGGGTGTTCCATTTATAAATAAAATCAGGGCAGTGCTCTACAATGCAATCTTTAAACAGTTTTTCATGCAGTCAGTATACCTGGACTGGATTATTGTAATTAGATCAAATAATCTCCGTTTTAGCCTCTCTTCATTGGGTTTCAGTATATTTTAATGGGTATTACTACTGTAATTTTTCATGTTTTTAAAGTCTCTAAATTTTCTGTCCCAACCTTCACGGCGTGTTTATGACACACTGTGATCCAGGCTGTATCTATGAGAAAAGGATCTCATAGAAAGTTAAAGATAAAGCCAACAATGTTTACTCACCATAGAACCATGTTTTTGTCACTCTTCCATACGTAAAAAGGTTTAAACATTAAAGAAGCGAGGTCAGGCTTACATAGGTCAGATGAGACCTATATATATATATATATATATATATCTATATCTGTGGACATCAGGCCCTCATACCATCCTCATGGAGTCAGTCTCTAACCATTTGTGCAGACACATGCACATTTGTGGCCTGCTGGAGGTCATTTTGCAGGGCTCTGGCAGTGGTTCTGCTCCTCCTTAAACAAAGGGGGAGAAATTGGTCCTACGGTTGTTGCCCTACGCCGGCCTCAGTTACAACGCAAAGACGAGAGTTCCTTTTACTGATGTTTAATGCTCTTAAACACCTTAGAACTGACAAAATAAGCACAAAAATACAACAGAAATAATTAGCCTCACAACATAACATACAATACATGTAGCAAATAAACATACCACTTTGGCCTGCTTGTGACTAAGGCTGGATTTATTCTTCTGTTTAAATCTTCTTTTTAACTAGCAAATGCAGTTTTTTGCTTTTCTGAGCTCTTAGTCCACGCTGAAGCCCAAGTGTGGTTCCGATAGCTTACAATCTTGACAGGAAACAGAAATGTCATTTTTCAAAATATCTGCATCCATCTCAATCTTATTTAAATTAAATACTGTGACTAACATTCAAAACAAATGATGATATAATGCACAACACACAAATATTGAAACTATATAAAATAAACAATAAGTACAAACTTATATAAGGTGCAACAATCTACTGGATTTCAGAATTATTGTACAAGCAACCAATAGCATTTACATGCCCTCCTATGTTCTCCTCCACATCTCCCAGAGTACTGGCCTGTCTCCTGGTAGTGCCTCCAGCCCCTGGACACTATGCTGACAGACACAGGAAACCTTCTTGCCACAGCTCGCATTGATCAGCCATCCTGGATCAGCTACACTACCTGAACCACATGTGTGGGTTGTAGAGTCTGCCTCATGCCACCACAAGTTGAAAACACAATCAACATTCAAAAGTGACCAAAAATATCAGCAGGCGTAGGTACAGAGAAGTGGTTTGTGGTCCCATCTGCAGAACCACTCCTTTATTGAGTGTGTCTGGCTTATTGTCAATAATTTCAACCTGTTGTCTATTCCATTTGCACAACAGCAGGTGAAATTGTCAGTGAGTGTTTCTTAACGTTAGTGTTTCATGCCAAGCTAGTTTTATACTAACGCCGTTACCTTTTTTTGGTAACGAAGTAATCTAAATAATTACTTTGTAACTCTAACTCAGTTACCATTACCGACACCCTGTTACTGCACGTTACTCAGGTCGCACAACTAACCTTTTTTCATGATGGGACTCGTGCGTGCCTCGTCATGAGAGAGGGGAGGATGAGATTGGCTGATGAATAGTGAGATTCCGTCTGTCAGTTGGGTAGGTGGGTGTTTCTGCTGGTGGGTGTTAACGTACAGCACACACAGAGAGATGGAGAGTGAGGAGGACTCCAGCAGCAAAACATTTTTTTCCAGATGGAAATACCGCTGTTAGGGCGAGCTGCGTTTCCCCATCAGATACGGTTTCCCCTGCATCTCCGCACTGCGCAGGCGGCACAATTTACCGCGCAAGCGACAGTAAACACGCATGGTCGCTAAAGGTGTGCAACAGTCGCACTATGGAGTGCGTGAACGATCAAATGCTAGCCTATATGGAGAAAGGGAGAAATATAGATAGATAGATAGATAGATAGATAGATAGATAGATAGATAGATAGATAGATGTTGCAGTATCTATAACAACCCAAACACACAGGATTTCAGAATTAGACATCCCCAGTTATTAATTGAATATAGTCACGCAGGGGCGTGAATACATAGACACTAGGTGGTGCTAAAGCACTAGGAAGTTTGCCCTTTATCAACGAAAAAACTTCACACCCATTAGTTGAGATAATGCAGCCTGATGTTATTTACACCGCATCAGATACCGTTCCCCCATGTTAAGCAGGGGAAACACTATCTGACGGGGTTTATAGGCATGTCAGATTGTGTTCCCCCCTGATGTAATTTACGCTGAGTTGCAATAAATGCAAAACTCTCTGCAGGTTCTTGTCTTTGTCGTTCGCTCTATTCAGCTGGCTTTTGAAACACACAGCGAGAAGGTGGGGGCCGGGTGGTGAGGGTTACAGGGGCGAGAAATGCAAAAGTAACACAATAGTTACTTTTACTAGTAACTAGTTACTCAGTTAGTAACTCAGTTACTTTTTGGGAGAAGTAACTAGTAACTATAACTAATTACTTTTTAAAAGTAACGTGCCCAACACTGACAGTATGTCCTTCTAGATCAGTGTTTTGGGCAATTTTTCGTACCATGATTTCCCCTCTCAGTAAAAAGTATTGATGATTATCCAAAAGTGGAACGTACAATACCTAAAATAAAGACTATTTTACTTAATCTTTTAATTTGAGCATTTCATTTTTATAAATGTATGCCTTCCATCTCAAATGAAAAAAACAAACAACATAAATATACGTTACGTTTTGGGGGGAGGTAACTAGTAACCAGTGGTGTCAAAAGTACACACATTTGTTACTTAAGTAGAAGTATAGACACTGCAGTTTAAAAACACTCTGGTAAAAGTTGAAGTATCAACTTGACCTCTTTACTCAAGTAAAAGTGAAAAAGTTTGTAATCCAAAACTACTTAAAGTATAAAAGTATAAAGTAACCTTTAAAAAAACAGCCAGATGCCACTATATGAATTGAAAGCTCAATTTTTCAACTATTTCTAAAAATTCTTTGAGATAGGGCCAAGGATGAGGGAGGTCTTGTTGGTCTACGTCTCCCGATACGCTCTCGCCTGTGTCAGACCTTTCAGACAATTCAACATCTTTTTCAGAATCCCACATTGTAGCATGGCATAGACAATTCACGTTTGCAGTTTGTAGAACACCTGCTTGCTTCTGATGATTTCCTTTAGCTAACCAATGAGTTGGATGTTCTATGACTCATCCAATTACACTAGTTTCACTAGATTTGGATGGAGCCAATGATCTGCATTGGATGGAGCACATGACGGGAAATAAATATTTACAAACATTAAACCAGGGGTAACCAATTAAAAATCAGTGGGTCTGAATAAAGAAAATAATCAACCAGTAAAGGTCTGGAGACATTTTTAATGATCTGTTACTTTAAACAGAATTTAACACTGAAACAAAATGAGGTATTTATGCATTCATGTTATACATTGAATTTTTAAATAAATAAAAAAATAGAAATTGCCAAAAAAAAAAGCATCCTGTGCTACCTCAGAGGAGTTGACACTTGTATGACTGTATTCCTGTATATCCATCAGTAGTTAAAGGTCAAGGGTCAGCAAATGCAAATTCTACCTATAAAACAATAACAGCGTAATTGTCGCTGTCTGATCTGAAGCCTCATTTGGAGCTTCTAAACTGGCTTTTGAAAAACTTTGATAATTTGCTGCGAATATTACAGATTTTTTTTAGAATAAAAAACTAGCAGATGTGCACAAACAAAAATTAGAATTACAATTATAGAGCAATCAGTATTATAAAAAAAGCCCACACTGTTTCTGAATAGATACATTATTGTATTAATTAAGTTCCGTTCCGTTTATTTATCTTTCCTTGAAAATATGAAATGTCCCATGCTCCTGAATGCACCATAGCTATCTGACGCTCGTGAATGCATCACACTGGTCTGTGAACGCTGTGCTGTGTTGATACGCGTTTGATTTTCCGCTTCAGACAAAGCTTTGCAGTTTCCAAACTCACGTCAGCATCACTGTTTATTTTTGTGTGTGAAAAACAAGAGACTAGAACGGGGGTCCCCCTTGCGGCTTCCTGGAGCTTTTCAACAATTTATGAAAATTTATTTTTTTATTTATTTATACGGTGTGCAGGAGGTCAAAGGAAAATTAATTATGTTTTCCAAAGCTGTAAGCATTTGTATAATAAATAAATAAATTTAAACATTATTTGCGTCATAGCCATACAGTTTAGTGGTCATAACTTGCAACCCGCATGGCGCGGTGCCAGGCAAACAAAGCTGCAGGTGTGTCTCCCATGATCCTAAAGGGAAAAAAGGAAATAGCTGATGAGAAAAGAAGATTCAAATATACCGAATAATTTGCTTTCATGATCAATGCGGAAGGATTGCCTGCATTTTTGCTTTGTAATAAGAGGTTGTTAAAAAAAAAAAAAATTTAGAAAAGCAATTCCAGGGAAGGCTGCTAAATATGCAGCCGACCACCAAGCTGGAAGGGAGAGAAAAGGTGCGATTGCAGAACTTATGGATAAATTAGAGGAGCGCAAAGAAATATTTAAGAAGTGGATTATATCTCCAAACTCCACTACTGCTGCTAGTTTTGTTGCAAGGATGGAAAACCGTCCACAGATCAAACAGGTAGCACTCTGATGCAGTGATGGGAACTTTCTTCCATTTTTTCCCCAAATCCTAACAATAGAAATCACATCAAAGAACGCTGGTGACGGAGGATGTGGG